ATCCATTGTGGTGGTGTATAGAGCTAAAGATATTAGAATTGTGTCGATGTCCCAATATTTCTGGACCTGACTGTATATAAAGTTTATAGCTGTGCACAGGATCTTGAAAGATATATGTTTTTTTGGTCAGGCATTTTTAAGATGTAAGAAGCTTAAGGCTTGTTACAGTGATACAGTAGTTTTATATCTACTATCATGTAAAGATACAGTTCAGTTGTATTTTTTATTTATTGTTTTCATTCTGTTAAAATGAATGAGAATAGTTTTCTTCCCAACAAAGAGGTGCTTCTTGTTTTTGTTCTTTTCAAAACCATCTTTGGTAGAAGAGGGAGGGGCTCATAACATATGCCTGAAATGGTTTAACTTTTTTCAGTGATGTCAAGAAACTTTTGCTTGATCCGGAGTTTACTCTCTTGCAACGATGCTTATTGGTTTCAAGGTAATATAACATTTACTAAATACCTCCAAAAGTTTATGTTTTAAAAATAGTTCTTACGTAATGTTAAGCATGAGTATCTATTTCCTGTTTCGAAATTGGTACAGTATTTATGTATAAAAGTGTAGACCAATTAGGATTAGATTCAATTAGTGTTGTGTTAATTTTTGCATAGAAATGAAAAAATGTGAGGAAATTTTGTTAGTATCTTGTGTTAGTTATAATTATTTACCCTAGTCATTGTAAAATTATGTTCAATAACTGTTATGAAGGAAATGCTTCCCATTCAGCCTGTTGGTTCCAAGGTAATGTAACATTGATTAAAAATCCAGTATTTTTTACTGTTGCAGATTGATATGCATATGTGTAAGATTTATGGGGTTAATACTGCTGTTTTGACATCTGTGAGGCACCTTGCCTGGATTTGTGCAAAATGCTGGAATAGTTGGACAGGTTTTGGGAACAGCATGTTGTGGAAACTCAGTCATTGTCTTAGCATTTAGTGTAAACTCAGCCATTTCACTAAACCAAAAGATGGTTTATTTGGGGGGAAGCATAGTATGTTAATTGTATGTAGAAACTGTGTTTTCTTAACCTGGATTTAACATCTTGCAGGTCACAGAGGTTAGAGTAATGGGTTTAAGTATGATACGATTTCATAATAACTCCATTCATGTAACATTAGGAATAATACTTTTAGCACAGTGTTTCCCAACCTGGGAAACTTCCAGATGTGTGGATTTCAACTCCCAGAATTCCCCAGACAGCATGGTGAGTGTTTTAGATAATATGCTGAGAATCTTGGAGGTCAGAAGTCTTCTGTCCAAATGAAGCAGGGACAAAAAATGCAGAAGTTTCAATTAACTTTATTTCTGCTTGAAATGCCTTGGAAGTGACCATAGTTCTAAATTCAGACACCATGGCAAGCTGTGACTAGTCAGATCCTTTCTGACTTTTCTCCGTGGCCTCCTAGAAGGAGGAAAGTGAACAACAGAACTTAGTCTCCAGCTGTTGGAGACTTATAGCTTCCATAATCTCTCTCTCAGCATGTTAAATAGTCAAAAGTGATGCAAGTTGTAGTCTTAAGTTATTCCCAGCTGTGGAATATACTCTCAAGAGTTATGTTTAGTCCCTAAACTTCCTGCTTACAGGAAAATAGTTCAGAGCATTCTCTTCAGCCAAGCCTTTTATGTTGTGCCAATGATAATTTTAGTATTTTTCCTGTTTTTCACATTTTATTTTAGTGTATTAATTACCTTAAGTTCCTAAGAGTAGAAAGTCTGTAAATAAATTTAAAGAATAGAGTACATCTGAGAGTGCAAGGCTGGTTTAACATGATGTGTGAATGTACTCACTGACTTAATCTGACTTTTCTTTTTGTCTTGGTCATACTCAGTGAATGTATCAGAGGGCCCATAGAAGACCAGCATGGGAGAGAACTCTGGGCTAACTTTCTCTATGCATGATGTAATTTTGTACATGCGAAGGAAATTGTCCCACCTACTTTCTGAAGTAGCACGAGACTGAATCACTTGCACTTAGCCTTTACCTAAGCATTGTTAAATTATTTTCTTTTATTTATTTATTTATTGCATTTATGTCCCACCTCTTTCAGGAAGCTCAAGATGGATGCCCATGGGTCTCTCTTCATTTTTATCCCTACACCCCAAAAAAGACATTTTGTGAATAGTTTGACTGAGAGAAAAGACTAAGCAAAAGTCACTGAGTGAGCTCTGTAGTTGAATGAAAAGTTGAATATGGAATTCCTGGTTCAGATATAACACCTTAACTACTACATTACACTAGCTCTTAGATTTTATTTTCATTTCTTGCCTATTTTCAGCAATATCTCTTGATAATGGTGCTGCTACATCTAATGCATTTAGGCTTCAAAACTTTATAGGCTATAAAACCATTAATTTAGACTTCTATTTTTCCCAGGTTGTATGGGGATGAATCTGAACTTCATTTTTGGACGGTTGCTGCCCATTATTTACATACTTATTCCTGTAACAAATCATTAACCATAAAGGCAGAAGACACACTTGTTTCTCAAGAAAAATGGATCAGTCCACTAGATATATGTTACGATACTCTCTGTGAAAATTCCTATTTCCAGGTATTGCATGATTTTTAAAAGAGTAAGTCAGTTCAAATCAACAAAAAAAATTTTTTTTTTAATTTTCACAAGGCTCTTTTCATTTTATTTGAAGCTTTCAGAGGTACAAACACATGTTACTGGTTATTATATTCTTTTTTTAATTGGGTAGAACTCACATACCTGCGTACATGTTAATGCTTCTTGTTGTAATTTGTACAGTGCAGGATCCATTGAATTTACAGCAGTTCTGTCTGGAAGAAGTGGAGGAGATTTTATGCTTATAATCATACTATCTTACAGCCTGAGACTCAATTACATTTTTCCTCCAAACATCATTATCCTAATTAGTTTAGCTATGATGAATTTGAGAGGCTTATAGAAAACTTTTGCACCAAGATTTCTTTCTGCTAATGTGCAAGAAATAAACAGTTGCTTTACTTCAGTGAGAAGCAAGAGTCTTCATTTTTCTTCAGAGCAAAATGAGTCAACATATTTGGATTATTACAGTATTGTATCGTTAAGAAAAGTTTACTCTTAGCAGACAGTTGCTGCATTCTTATCATATGCATATTCTATTTGTACGCCACAGCCATAATCCTGGACAAAGCCTTGAGGCCTTACTAATGCTCATTTAATGTCTCATTCCTTCTTACTTGTCCTCCCAATTCCTTTTGCGCCTCCCTTGCTATTTGCTTAATTCTGGTATTCAGATTCTTCCATTTGCTTCCCACTTTCTTTTAACTTTCTTTTCTTGCCTTTTAACATTTATCAAAAGCTTTTCTTTTCATATGTTTTTATGGCCATATTTTTCTATCTGCTGTTTGCCTAAATACATGTGTATGGAACTGAAGCATCAACGGAAATTGAACCAACTTCTGTTCTGTGCTTTGTTGCCAATTTACTTTCTATTTTATCTCTGTGTCTGCTGCTGCTTGCCTGTTTTTTTTTTTTTTTTTTTGGTATTATTGATTGACATAAAACATTTCAATGAATGTTAGGGTACAGAGGCTGTTTTAGACCTCTTCCCATATGAATATCACCCCATTAAAGGATAATATCAAGCCAGTAGGTTGCAGTATCTCTAGAAGTGGCACTGGATTTATGTAACAGCAAAATTACTAAGGAAAATTTAGTAATTCTTGCATTCTTTTTCCCATGGTTCCTGCAGAAATTCCAGCTTGAAAGAATCAATATTCAAGAAGTTAAAAGATCAAATTATGATCACACAAGGAAATGCACAGATCAGCTCTTGCTTTTGGGCCAGGTTTGTGCTACCAATTTTGGCTCTTCGTATCGATTTAATTTTCTTTGCGAGTATTTTATTAGGAATGTAGGAGAAAATTAAGCAATATTAGTGCTGGATATTGTTAAACTCTGATAGTTACCTTTTTCCTCTTTCCAGACTGATAGAGCTGTGCAGTTGCTTTTGGAAACCAGTGCTGAGAACCCTTATTATTACTGTGATTCACTCAAGGCATGTCTTGTCACCACAGTTACTTCCTCTGGCCCTTCCCAAAGTACCATTAAATTGGTAGCAACAAACATGATTGCAAATGGAAAGCTGGCAGGTAAAATTTCCATTCTCTATATTGAGCACACAAGAATGCCTCAAAAGTTTGAGCATAAAGCTATTAAAATAAATGTACCTTGCTATTATTAAGTACGAGTGGAATGCTAGACCCTCACATTATCACACCATATCCTAAAGTACAATTGGCAAAAAAATGACAGATGCATTGCATTGCATTACAGATATGACTTTACATGTATTGCAACAGTTTTAGAACTCTACAAGATTATCACTCCCTCCTTTAGGTAAAGTTTGGATAATAATGCGCAGTGGAGGACTGCTTTTTCCCTCTTCAGATAAAGATTGATGTGCATGCTCTTATTTACACAGCTCTTTGTTTTAATAGACCATTAAAAAGAACAGAGGTGAAGTAGAGGCAAATACTGCTAGCAATCAAATACTGTGACTAAATGAATTCTGCATTGAAATTTTTAAATATTTCTTTGGGCTTTTTGTCCTGGGTTATAGACCACAATAATACTAAATGGTTGGGAATACACTAAGCCTGGGTCAGAAGGATATGGACTAGGAAGCTCTTTATACTTTATCCTCTACAAAAAGCAGTAGTTGGGGGGTCTCTATCATTTTTAACTGGAAAAGACTTGATAACTCTTTTTTTATTTAAATTGTGACTCATTAAGATCAGGTACCTTTTTTTTCCTTCCAGAGGGTGTCCAGTTGCTGTGTTTAATAGATAAAGCTGCTGATGCCTGTCGTTACCTACAAACCTATGGTGAATGGAATCGAGCAGCGTGGCTTGCAAAAGTAAGTTGCTTATCAATATGATTCCTGTCCTGTATGCTTTGCTCCTTGTTAAGAAATAATTACGTACATAATAACTAGGTAAGAAGCTGAGAAAATACTAGTGGCGTACTTACAGGAACCGTTTGCAAATTACCATAAACCATGAATGAGCAAGTGTGCTGATGCATATTGGTTAATGTTATTTTTCAAAAATTGCAGGCTCTTTCTTGTTATTCTCTAAATACAGTGGTACCTCTAGTTACGAACTTAATCCGTTCCATGACTCTGGTTGCAACTCGAGTTGGTCTCAAGTCGAGGTAAAGTTC